TTCCAAATTTCTGCTGGAGTGAATTGCGTCATGGTGTTCATTTTTCACAGGCTATGCCCAATTGACCCTACTATACTGTTTAGTCGACAAAATCAAAAATAAACGACGCGCATGCGAATGTAAAAATATAAAATGCTGACAATTTATCCATCGCATCCATTATATACCGTCTTGACGACTGCGTTAAAGCATGAAAATGACTATCTGGGTGTTGACCTTAATGTCCAATTTCGCATATATATATATATATATATATATATATATATATATATATATATATATATATATATAAAGGTGGATAATGAGGCTAACACCAAGTGGTAACAGTCTGTTTTATGTTTGAACTCAATCTTCATGTTCAGGAGATTGTGTTCAAGAACAAAACAGACTGTTGTCGCTCGATGTTGACTTCAGTGTCTACTTTTATATTTGAATCCGCTCTGTCCCTGATATTGGACACTTTGATCCTTAATAATAGCCTAACTAATGTTCACTTATTACAAAGCCCAAGAGCCACTCAAGGTAGGGTGTTACTCTCTGATATTTCATGAGCCTGAGAAGAAAGGGCAAGATGCGAAGTTCTTGTGGGGGTGCTGTGCAGTAAAGATAACAGCTGACTGTAGACGTGATAAGATCAAGAATAAATTAGTGAATAGCATTTCAGGTTCAGTCGGAGACATTAGAAGTATAGTGTGGAAGTAGGCTTTAGAAGGAACCGGAAATCCAAACCGGAACAGGAAATGAGAACAATGGCTAAACATCTATTCTGGTTCAAAAGACTGAGGAGGAGTAGAAGCCGGACGAAAGGAGAACCTATCTAATCCTACTGGTAGAGAAGAAAAAATAATAAATAACATTTCAGAGTTCAGGCGAGGACGTTACGAGTTGAATATATATATATATATATATATATATATATATATATATATATATATATATATATATATATATATATATATATATATATATATATAATATAATTAATGGGGGAAACTTGAGATTTAATTGAGTGGTGATATTTCAGTCATGCCGACTTCGAAGTTTCGTTGGTACATTGTTGTAATGCCTTCACTCTTCAGGGCAGTTAGCGCCTCTACTGCTGCTTCTCAATCTTTTCGTATTTATGTATACTTTGCCGTCATTTTTTTTTGTATGAGTGTGTGATTTTTTCACTTAATGGGCTTTGTATTATCTGTTTTCATATTTAGCATTTTTGCTTTTTAAGTGCTGTAGGTTTCTTGGTGATTGTTTGATTTGTATAGTGCTGGCCTCTTTTGACTGCTTATGTATATGCTCGTTTAAATACTTTATGTTGGATTGACCTCTTTTTACCGTGTTGAGCTGACCTTTTTTTTTAACTGTATCTGCCTAAAATTCATTTCCATCAGAAAACTACGGTAAATGAACCAGTAATTTTGGCACCAAACATTCTTACAATTTATATATAAATGAATGACAAGTGCACTTGTTCAAACTGTTTTTATCTATCTATCTATCTATCTATCTATCTATCAAATTAACATTTCGTTTCGTTTCGTTTTTTTCTTTCTAACAAACTAACACTTCAAGTTTTCTATCTATCTATCTATCTATCTATCTATCTATCTATCTATCTATCTATTTCAGTCTATTCATATCTCTCTCTATCTATCCCAGTCTATTCATATCTATCTATCTATCTATCTATCTATCTATCTATCTATCTATCTATGCAGGTTTAATAGAAAGCCAACGAATGTTCTTTGTTTATTTTTTTTAATTTTATTTTCTACGTTTTGGAAAATTTTCTTGGTTCCAATATATATAACTTATCCAAAATTTACTGAACAGTTTCAGGTTTCATAAACAGTTCACAAAGAATTCTTCATTTTGTGTTGAAAGTCTTCTCGCTACGTCTATGTATTATGTTTTGAGAGTTGCGTCTTCAAGTGATGGATGCCACATGACCGTATGCTTGTGGTGTCCTGACATTTTTTTGTTTAACGCATATATATATAGAGAGAGAGAAAGAGAGAGAGAGAGAGAGAGAGAGAGAGAGAGAGAGATAAAGATAGATAGATAGATAGATAGATAGATAGGTAGGTAGATATACGCTACAGCTCAAAAGATGGTAATTTTTACAATTGGCCCCAAATATAGTTGCTTTGTACTTTAAAAAGAGAAAATTATTAAACATGGTTAAATGATTTTATATAAGACATTTTATCATGAGAAAAAAATAAAGCAATTTTGAATTAAATTTTACTCTCGTCATAATATCTTCCTTTAGACTTGATTACAAATTTTTTGGCATTTGTTGCAAAGGTTTCTCAAAGAATAAATCTGATAATTGATTCCATTCTTTTTTAGTTTTTGCTGTACAAAAGTGAAAAGATATTTTTGTTTTAACCAAAAGCGATCAATTGAAATATAAAAAAAAATTAAAAAAAATTGGGGCAATTTTTACGCTATGTGATTCAACAGAAAGATGATGAGGATTCCATGGACCAAATAAGGAAACATCAGGGAGAGATAGGCGAAATTTTCGGGGAACATAAGAAGGAAAGTGGGCTTGGCAAATTTTGATACTCACAGGGACAGATTGAAAGCAACAGGGACAGAGGAATAACAACGCATAAACTACTTAGTGAACTTGAGTAAATGGATGGCAGAAGAAGGTTTAGGATAAGTAGCAAGAGCCTCAAAGAAAAGGAAATTGTGGCGAACCATGATCGCCTACAATCATCTGAATACAAAAAAAAAGTTCAAAAAAAAGGAATCGTTAACAATAAAATAAGAAAACAACCTTCAATGATTTCAAAGATAAAAACGGCCACAACGTGCTGATTTAAAACATTCCTTATTGTTATAAAATATACATTCCCAAACGAACAAAAAAACATACTCGATAATCACTAACAGATTAGCCGAAACCGTTTGGTCCACAGATTATTTGGACAGTTTTTACACACTCTCTGCTAAAAAAAGAAATCCTTTTTACAGTTGTAATAAATATATAAAACACTTAATTATGGAGCCTTGTCAGTCGTCTTCACTATATATATATATATATATATATATAGTTTTAAGGTGTGCTATATTTATGGGATAAAAGTACGCAATATCAGAGTTAGAGCGTATGTAAATATAAATATAAAAGTGAACATTGAAATCAACAGTCAGAGGCAACAGGCTGTTTCATGCTAGGCGCAATCGTCAGGCTTGACGATTGCGCCTCTGAGTATTGACTCTTAGTGTTGACTTCAATCATTTTACTTTATATATATATATATATATATATATATATATATATATATATATATATATATATATACATGCACGTTTGATAAATCAGACAAAGTCGGAAAGTGTTTTATCTATTACGCATTTCGCCTTCGGGTCAGAATAAAAAAAAATATATGTGTGTGTGTTTTAGTAGTAAATACGGAATAACACAAACACACACACACACACACACACACACACACACACACAGATTTCTTCCAATCTGACCTGAAGTAGCCTATCTAACGAAGACGAAACGCGTAGTCAATAAAATACTTTTCCATTTTGTCTGATTTATCAAAGAAATGTTCGGAATCTATATATTACTAACCCACACACATACACATATGCACACGTACACACACACACATACACACACATACACACACACACACACACACACACATATATATATATATATATATATATATATATATATTACATTGATATTCACCCTGATATATGGTCCGAGGGCCAGTCCAGATAGATGTTTACTAAGAGACGCAGCTAATGCGGATAAGTGTGGAAGATAACGGTTACCTAACTCTAAACATGGACAGGTTAAGATAATAGTGACCAGTGAAGCAACCCCTTGGGAGTCGGTTCCACACAACAGTGGATCGACGAATAATATATATATATATAAATTTGGAGTGCGTCCTTTGTCATGCTATCGCTAAAGTAGTTTCTGATGACTAATTATGAGTCTGTTTACAAATTACCAAAGCACTTATCTATTTAGTTATTAATATATTTCCGAACTAAGTTAACAAATGCTAGTCAATCGAGTTTTTTCTTCTTCTCGATGTTTCTTACTCAGGTGTGTGAAGGTGCACCTGGCGTATTTGTTGATGGAATTTCTGTTTGGAATTGTGGTAATGAGCACACGATTCCTATTTGGTTGGCATTGAAAATAGCCACCAATTTTCTAAAAGTATATCAGGCTGTCTAGCTAGATATTTTTTTTTGCGCGCGCGATCATGTTTTCCTTTACCAGGCTTTAATTCGGTAACACATTTTCGTTTGTACATTGAATTGGCCTGAGTATCGGAACAACGAAATTTACAGAAGTCGGACGAGAAATATGAAAACGAAAATGAGGTTTGAGATGTACCAATAAATTTAGAGGTCTGTCTATCTCTCTGTCTGTGTATATGTTTATTTATCTGTAGAAGCTTGTGTATTTGTTCTGTCAATCTCAGTCTCTACCATTATTTCTTCCCCTCTCACTATCTCTTTATATATATATATATATATATATATATATATATATATATATATATATATATATATATAATTCTGTCAATATCTATTTATGAATTTTCCGTTCTTTTTATCTATCTATCTATCTATCTATCTATCTATCTATCTATCTATCTATCTATCTATCTATCTGCTTATTTATCTATCTTTATTTATGTCCACTCCAGATAGGCATGCGTATATTTGTGTCTTAAGATCAATATCTATCTATCTATCTATCTATCTATCTATCTATCTATCTATCTATCCTTGTGCATGTTTATTTATCTATATATCTTTTTTCATATCTATCCTTAACTGCATAAACCTGTGTATTTCTGTTTCTGTTTGTGTACGTATATTTATCATTTGGAGCGTGTGTATTTTTGTTGTCAGTCTGCGTGTATCTATCTATCTATCTATCTATCTATCTATCTATCTATCTATCTATCTAATTGCGTTCATTTCTATCTAATTATCAAATTTTTGTATTTATGTCACGTGATTTGCTATTTATCTATCTATATATCTATTATCTATCTATCTATCTATCTATCTATCTATCTATCTATCTAATTGCGTTCATTTCTCTCTACTGTCAAATTTTTAGATCTATTTATCTCACGTGATCTATCTATCTATCTATCTATCTATCTATCTATCTATCTATCTATCTATCTATATATATATATATATATATATATATATATATATATATATATATTAGTTGTGTGTGCGCGTGCGTGTGTGTATATATATATTTCCAAACTTACCTCCGTGGTCACTGTTGTAGTAGTAGTAGTAGACTCCGTGATTTTCGTTTCTGCTTTCACTTACTCCCGTACTCTCTGTTGATATCCGACTCAACGTACTTCCTTTATAGATTTCTTTTGGCGGAGAAAGACTGTGTGCAATTGGCTTTTCTTTCTTTCTTTCTTTCTTTCTTTCTTTCTTTCTTTCTTTTCTTTCTTTTCTTTTCTTTTTTTTTTTTTTTGATCTCCTCCTTACTTCTCTTCTTAGCTTCCCTTGTTGCTCAAGCAGTAGACGCGTGTTCCAAACGGACGCACGGACTGGCAGCACTACAAACGGAAATAAAGATCACCGGAACAGGCGACAACGTGGAAATGGGATCGAAAGACGAACTCAGGCGAAATGCGGACGAACCAATTCCTCGCACCGTCATCAGTATCACCAGCAGTACTGTCATCATCAGCAGCGTATTGAGGGTCATAATCCAGAGAGTCGTCATCATCATCTTCATCATCGTCGCCACCATCATCTTCAGCACTGTCAGTACCAGAGAGGAAAAAGGTGTCGCTAAAGGCAGCAGCGGCGGTAGTGGTCACAGTATTAATAGTATTAGTTCTACGATTAAAAGTCGAAGTTGAAGTAGTAGTAGTAGTAGTAATCTTCGTAGCAGTAGTAGTAACAACAACAGCAGCAGGCGAAGCTATTATCAGTGGTTACACATTGCCTCGCTGTCAGCTGTTAAAAGGATGATGCACAGAAGCAGACAGCTACTATCGCCTGTGTCCCTACGACTACTGCCACTACCACCTTTACTATTGCTATCAAAGTCGTGTGGCGCGCCCCACTAGCAGAGATAAATATGCTAGCCGTTACCGAAGGTGATGCCAGCTGGTTTGGGCATGGGAGAATTTCTTGGCCAGGCGCGAATGATGTAGAGGAACAAATTCCAATGTCATTTCCGTTTTCGACTTCTCGTATCGTTTCCCTTCCATTTTCAACTCCTTGTTGTGGTCTTGCTCTCACTGCAGTTTTATTTTCTCTTGATCTTCTCTAATTTTCGACAGTGTTCTTTATTTTCCTCTTTTCTTTCTTTTGTTCTCATTTTTCGCTCCCTATTAACTTTTCTTTTTTTTTTTATCAAAAATTCTTTCGCCACCCGTTTCACTTTTTTGGTTCTTCTATAACCTTCGCCCGTCTCCTTGCTCTCTTTCTTTCTTTCTTTCTTTCTTTCTTTCTTTCTTTCTTTAAATTAAAATTCTCTGTTTTTTCAATTTCTTCTCTCTCGCACTCTTTGTTTCTTTCTCACACTCTTCTCTCTCGCACTCTTTGTTTCTTTCTCACACTCTTTTTTTTTTCTCTCTCTTGCCTCTAGAGATGAACAGCACAACGAAGATATATAATTCCTGTCACGGTGACTCGTGGTCTGTTGTCCAGAGATGAACCCAGAGGGCAACAATGTCTGCTCTCCGGTCAGTCTATCAAACCCGACCGTTTCGTGTTGGCCGGTTAGTAACTATATGGTGCAGTGTTAAAAGAGAGAGAGAGAGAGAGAGAGAGAGAGAGAGAGAGAGAGAGAGAGAGAATAAACTAAAGAGACAGAAGACAAAGAAATTTAGTGTGCGAGAAGAGAAGTTAAGGGGTGTGAAAATATGGCGAGCTGGTATGGAGTTTACGAAACACTGTAGGCAATAAAAAAATGAGGAAAGGCGAAATAATTCGATTTCACTATCTTCATACACCGCTTGGTAGAATGAACAACCAGCTAGACGTAACCGTTCATACAGAGAAGCGTTTAGAGAGACATTGATTGAAAAAAAAGGGGGGGACCAATGTACACACGCAGGCTCATTGAAATTCATCTTTAACGCGAAACAGTGGTTTACAGCACCCCCGCCCATGTTTACACGCAGCAGATGTATTCAACGTCATTATTAATCGTAAGTTGGTATACCTTCAAGTCAAAATTTATAAGCAAATCATATGCGAACATACATATTATGTAATTATGCACGCGCGCACTTTTTTTTAAACACAGACTAACACACAAAACGCACAGGTAAAAATGTACACACAAATACACACACACACACTGAGTCATATGTATAAAACAGATGTACTATTAATATATTTGGGAAAGCGTAGAAGTGCAGGCAAGTATAGGACGCTACCCTTTGTGAGCAGTAGGCTATCAACTAGTCTCTGTCAGTGGAAAATAATTACCGTATTTCAAATTTATAAAGTTTTGGATGCTTTTAGTCCCATCCTCTCCAAAACCCAAAAAAAAACAATTGATGGAAGAAATAAAAAAAAATGTTTCCCTTGCATTTTATAGCCGCTCCCACCATCCTCAAATTTACCCATTCAATAGCATATTTCAGCATGAACTGACTAATGTTATAAAATTTATCACAGACCGTGAAGAACAACATTTATGGTAATTATTTAGAATGTAATAATTCGAATAGAAATTAATAAATGTATTGAATTTTAAAAAATTTAAAAAATCTTTAAAAAGTTAATAAATCAAATGTATTAATTCGAATAGAACTTAAATCCTATCACCATCCTTCGATTTATAGGAAATAAATGCGTCTTATAAGCAGCAAAACGCGGAAGGATTTGGGATAATGAACTTTCTCATATGAATATTTGGTTAGTGGTTAGTACCTTATACATATATATATATATATATATATATATATATATATATATATACATGTATATATATATATATTTGTTTAACGTTTTTTATTTTAAGAAATATACGTTCCTTTTATAGAAACAAATATTTAAGTAAATTTCTGTGTATGATAAACAGTATTAACGACATTTAACGGCCTGTCGGTGGACGCATATTTTTTAAGAAAATTTCTCGGACATTCAGGCCGGTAAACGTCGTTAATAGTGTTTAATATAAACAGGGCATTTACTTAAATATTTGTATCTATAAAAAGAACGTATAAATAATAAAAAAATATCTTAAAATAATTGTTTGAATTTGTCCATTTCATATATATATATATATATATATATATATATATATATATATAGGAGATAATAGATCCGTTGGTATATAATTCCAGGTGTCCTATTAATAACATTAAACCCTTATGGTTTAAATACTGTTTACTGTAAATCATAGTAAAACAGACTTGTTGCTTGCATAGGATGGTACCCCATAGCACCCCATAGCAAGAACCAAAATTTTATTTACAGACAACGATAGGCTCAGTCCATAAATAAACTCCAACCCAGACTACTTCCCCGTAATGAGATACCTTACGCCCTCCCTCAGACACAAGCCCCTTATCAAAAAAAAAAGTCGTCACTAAGAAGAGGACTGATATCGAAAATAAATTCAAAACCCCAATTCCTGACAGACTTTTAAGGGCTGAAGACGGCTGGTGTCGTACCAACTTGAAATAGACTATACCTATATGAGGTAATTTTGGTCTTTGCTGAAATATATATATATATATATATATATATATATATATATAGCAGATCGAGTACTGGTGCTAACACAATAGTTGTCGTTCTATAATAACAACGCTATAATTTATATTAATGATAAATATACATTATTTTCCCTTAGCAAAACTCTATGGTTCATGGACGATTCAATCGTAATGTGCTGATTGAAAAGTTTTCAAATCTATCTATCTAGCTACAATCTACGATTAATATAAATATAAAATTTGGCACTTATCTGATTGATGCTATATTCAGCACCTCCTGAGTGTTTGTAAGTGTTCGGTTCACTTGTCAGGGGATATTATCTATCTATCTATCTATCTATCTATCTATCTATCTATCTAGCTAGCTAGCTAGCTAGCTATCTATCTATCTAGCTAGCTAGCTATTTCCTGCTGTTTTAAATGTTTTATGGATATCCATGTTTGTGTAGACGCCCTGTATTTTATTTTTTATTTTAATAGTGTTAATTACGTCTACAGGTCGGGTTTCGAAACTGCACTACCTTAGTGGGAGAAACCATCATATGATCCGGTGTGCCTTAGACCGCTCAGCCATGGAGAGTGCCAGTGCTTAGCCAGATTCAATTAACCTTTTTGAACAACTCATTTCCTCTCGTTCAGATCGTTCCATCTTTGTTCCTAGTTTCGTATCTGAAACATAAACAAAGTAATTTTTAAGGAATAAATAGATTCTTTAAACGACACGGTTTTCTACGACTCCAAACATTATTCTGCGGATACCCCTGCTTGAGTAGATGCATGGACAAATGGTAGACTTATTGTTATGGTCCGGTTCCTTGTACCACGGTGATAGTCCAAGGTAGAACCAATAAAGAAGAACTCGAATACGGATATGGAATAGCACAGATATATTACAAACAGGAATATATACAGAGAGGTAGAAAGTGTGTTAGTACGAACAATCAGGTTTAGTAGTAATTGTCTGAACGCGACTCTGTTTCGGACTGCCTCTGACTCGACTGACTGACTCGCTCGCTCTGACTGACTGACAGACTTCTGACGGACTTTACTCCAGACTTCAGACTGAATTCAGACGGAACGGTATTTAGTCCCCCCCCCAAAGGGCATCATGGCACAAGGCCGGTTTAACGTGGGATCTCCGAGCCCGTGTGCTCGGCCAAAAATATGCCCTTTGAACCCGTATAAACGGGTTCAGGGTCGGTTTACCTCCCTGAAAGAGACTCCGCCCTTCGGCGCAGCCTCGTTCGGGTTCCTCCCCGCCCGAAGGCAGAGAGTTCAACCGATCAGCCGGTCGCCCGGTCGTCCGAATTCAGGACTGAACTCCCTGCTTCCTCTTGAGACGCAGTATTTATTACGTATGGAATAGTCCATTATGTTATTATGGGTAAGGTCCCGTAACACTTATAAATGTGTAAAATTAATAAGAAAAATTGTCTAGGATGACACAGCGAAACAACTTTCCTAGAAGCAAACCTAGCAATTGATTCAATATCATAAATGCACTTCATGTAAACAGAAAACGTTAGCCCGAGAAGGCGTAGTGAGTCATTTTCTTGGAGGTTAGCATCATCCATGCTGACACATCCAAGCTTATAGCATCTGGTATTCCCAAGCGGTCCACCATCTACGTACTGGTAAGGCTCGACGTCAATTAACGTCGGTGATCCAACGTGAATCGGTGTTGATATAGCTATAAGTAGTGGGCAGACTGAATCAACACTGCATGATGACATGAAGTTTAACGCCTTCAGCCATCATCAAATCATTTTCTGATGATTGTTCAAGAGGGGAAGCTAACAATCACCCTACAATATTCATTCATATATTCACGCGATTTATATCTACAAATGCTCTTGATCCATAAACATACCGTAAATTGCTCTAACGAGTAATTTGCCTTGGGCAGAATGCCATCAGGGGTGGGTCCGTCGAAGGATAGCGTTACAACTAAGGAAAATTATACTGAGAGGTACACGAGGCCGCCCCCACTCATTGCACCAGAGAGAGGAATCCGTGCTTGCACCGAGGCCAGCGCAACCGTCGGTTGCGGGGATTCGGGCAATTTTTGTTCCTAGTCCGGGTGTATGTGCTCGTGCTCCTCACATTAAAACGACCTTGTGTCACAACCTGACAATATTGGGGTGTGTGAGTAAACACAAATGTGCCGTCTTGTAAACTATATATATATTGGCTTTCTATTTCTGTGTATGATGATAAACTACATCCGGCAGCAAGGCCTCTGATCGGGAGATTGAAGGTTTTGAGGAGCGTAGAACCTCTTCTTAATTGTTGTTGTTTGTAGGTCTACCCTGACCCGGAGTGGTAGCACCTGTTAGGGTCCCAGCTATGGGCAAATAGTGAACCCTCAACCAATAATCAAAACACTAGGGAAGTATAAAAAATATATTTGTATAGTAAAACTATCAGCAATACATTTATATAAAAAATTACCAACATTACGTTTTTATAGTAAAATGAACAACAATACGTTTTATGTTAACATGACCAGCAATACATTTTATAGCAAAATAAACAATAACACATTTCATATCAGAATTAGAAGCAATATATTTTATAATAAAATGAAGAGCAATATATCGGCAATGTGGACAGTTCATCACTGAAGACTACCTTTGATGTCTCTAAAAGTTATTATGCAACCAATAATACAATTGGTATCTGAAAATAACTAGCAATAAATTTTTATAATAAAATGGCCAACAATAAATTTTTATTGTAAAATTACCAACAACTCATCTTCATAGCAAACAACCATCTGTACAGTTAGTTTCAGTTATGTGCCATGCCTGATACACGCTTAGGCGATCATGTCTGACGAGGCAGGTTTTTCCCCGCAGTAGGTTGCCATTTCTTTCTGCGGTAGACCAGTTGCCATCCAAAGCTATAGAGCAAT